AGTTGATGTAATAGAATGCGACAGTCTCAAGAAGTGAGTGTGGACAAACTCTTCTAAAGAAAAAGGAATATTGCCCTGACTAGTGTGGCTCAGAGAGTGGGGCATCGTCCCCCAAAGCAGGTTGACAGTTCAATTCCTGGTCAGGGCACATGTCTGGGTTGCAGGTTCAGTCCCTGGTCAGGGTGCCTGCAAGAGACAACCTGTTTCTCTCACACACTGATGTTTCTCTCCTTCTCTCTCTCCCTCCCTTCCACTCTCTCTGAGAATAAATAAAATCTTTTTAAAAAAGAAAAAGGAGGACTGTAAGTGAGGTGAAAAGAAATGTAGGTATAAAATTAGAAATGGGATTCATAAAATTTAGATTCAGCTAAGGTCTTGAGTAGATGATGTTTGTGTACCATTACTGAAGCCCTCGGTTAAACTACTGGGGAGTCATCTGAAGTAAGTAAGTATAGTTTTTGATGTAGTAAAATGCCCAATAGTTTCTGACTTTAGGTATTGTCCTGTATAATAAAAAGATTTTTAATGTGTTTCTCCAGTCAAAGCAATTGCACAGTCTTTATTTGGGAATATTTTTGGTAGGTGTAATCTTTTCATTTTATTGTTTTAACACTCCCCCCCCCGTCCAAAACAAGGGTATATATAAGGAAGAAATATTTTTAAAGCTTTAAAAATAGAGTTCAGATTTACTACTTTTGGTAGAATATCTCTGTTGCTAATTTTATCTTTAAATAATTAATTTAAAAGAATTAGTAAGTATGTCACCTGTGAGGAGGGTTATGTCTAACAACAGACAAGATGGGATCGCTTAGTGGATTCTCTCCCTGCCATGGTTTGGAAAAAATGCATGGGCTTTTTGTCTTTTATGAGCCTCCGTCTCGTGGTATGTAATTGAACATTCCTCTCCCGTCTTCCGTCTTCGTGCAGGGCCTCTCGATAAAGATTTCCAGGAGGGCTACATTCTTAGGCAGTGGGAAGAAACAGTTCAGTTATTTTGGGACCTCCTCAGCCTGTCTCTGTATCTGGCCACCTCGCTCTGTCTTTCAGTGTCTTTCATTCCCCCTGCTTCGCTCCTTCAAGCCTCTACTTCCTTCCAGCTCAGCTCCATGTCATGGTAATAAAGAACCAGCCAAGGCCGACTCATGCATGTCTGAGTTTTAGCTGAATCATTCGTACAATTATAAAATTAGTCAAAGCAGCAGAATTAAGCTGTCCCTCTCCACTAATCCAGAGAATAAAACATCATGTTCGTATTTGTCCACCTGACACATACCATAAATTGTATGAATTAAAGGCTGTTTCACTCAGCTGATCTGAGGAAGGAAGAAATATTCAAAATAATCTCAATGAAAGTACAGTACTGTGTGTTTCTCCATTACACGGTGCACATAGCGCTTATGGCCACGGCTGCTTCCCACGGAGCCTTATTTCACACCAGGTCCCTGGAGCAGTCTCACTCTTTTCTCTTCATACTCTACATCATGTTGAAAGGTTTTATCCTTCCTCCAAACCCATTATACCATTCCACGCTCCCAGTTCTCTGTCATAAACCTAGCTCATACAGAATATTCAGAGTTTTTAGCCACGAAGTCAATAGATGGTACTTAAGGGTTTGATCACATTTGTGTCCACCCCCTGGTCAACCGAGAGTCCTGATTCCAGTTTGGCCTCATCCCTCTTTTACATGCCCCATTTCCATTGTCTCGTGACTGTGTATTTACATGCAAAGATCCATTTTTTAGCAGTTACTGCCTACAGTCAGAGTTCGGTGGTTTTGTTCAATTCAAGCCAACCCACATCTGCTACAAAGCCAAGTTAATAGACCTCAGAGTCACCCGCCAGGTCTTCCTAAGGTGGCAGAGTCATTCAGTCGTACACTGAATTGTAGCCTCCAAGTTTCTTGTATTCCCACAGCAGGTTTTGCTGAGTATTCACAGCAGAAATACTTCACATGCCACACTCTGTATTAAAGGAGGCAAAACTGGTAGGCGAGCATCTCTGGCCCTGGCAGTAGGGTGGACTCCGTGAGTTGAAAGTCTTCTGCTAAAATGTCCAGCAAATGTAAAAGAAAATGGATCAAACATCAAACATCGGCTCACATGCCTGATGGAACCAGCAAAAAAATTAGAAATGTTGCCGAGGGACAAAAAACGAAAAGGGAGCTGAAAACCAGAACAGAAGGGCGTGAGCCACCACTGCTGCTGGGCCTCAGGCTGGGGCTCCGTGCCCGCCCAGGCCAGAGGCGGTCGTGCGCCTTTGCCTGAGAACAGTATCCATTCCAGTTAGTCCGCCAGGTTTGCTTCCCAATAGCCATGGCCAACATATTTATTTTAAACTGCTCATGGTGCTCAAAGGTAACTTCACCCAGGCCTCTGTGGATACCAGTCTTCGGGAAGAGTGGGGGGTTTGGCCTGCTGACCCGGCCACTCCACCAGCTCATCAGACCAAACCGAGGTTCCCTGTTCTCGCCGTGCTTGCTGACCTGGCGCGCCTGTCACTCCAGCCATGTGAGATGTATGCTTGATAAGGAAGAGTCATTTCTGTTGGTTCCCAAACCTCGTAATGCTGATTGTACTTAGCTTTGTAATTTCATACTTTAAATATTAAGGAAACAGAGGAGTGTGAAAAGAAAGAATCATTTTTATGCAACCCAAGTTCTGTGCCTCAGAAAGAATGAAAAACGGTTTATCAATTAAGATGTGAGCAGAACAGGGAAGTGTAGAAGATTGGGCTGGGGAAGAATTGAAAAATGCAGAAAGGCCATCCATCGATAAGTTTATACAGAGAGGATGAAGGGCCCCAGTCAATCCGGTGAGTTGCTCTGTTCCTTGTTAACAACAGAGCAAGAATCTGAAGACACCTGGGTGCGTGCAGAGCGGTCTGAGTACAGACTCTCACAGGCACCTGCTCTGGACACCAGGCTGTCTCTAAGTGCTCCTCACACAGCCCCTGTGCTGTGTCACCCCCGAGGCTTAGCTGCAGGGACTGTATGTGGTGCAGGGCACGTTAGTAACTGAAAGAGAGTATTGCAACACAGCCTGGAAGCCTCAGACTTAGGGGCTGGGTGGGCCTGGTTTGAATCTCAAGGCTGCAATTTGTTGGTGTCCTTAGGGTACGTCCTGAAACATCACCTGAAAATAGGAGTGATAATAACACCACCTTGCTCCTGGGGTTGTGAAAACTAAATGAGATAATGTTAGGGAAGCATGTGGCACCATGCCACCGTACATTAGTGCTCTAAATAATGGTCGCCAGGGTTCCATTGTGTGGCTTTTCTAAAACTGAAACTTCTCACCTTGATATCTTTAAAACCTCTCCTTTGGAGACAGCTTCCATTATTTATTCTCTATGAATTTGGCTACACTGGGGATGTGTGAGTTGCCTGTATGAGTTTACTAAGGGCTGTGTGACAGAATGCCACAGACTAGGTGACTCCAACAACAGACACATTTTCTCACAATTCTGGAGGCTGGAAGTCCAAGACCAAGGTGTCAACAGGTTTGCTTTCTTTCCTGCTTTGTCCTCACGTTTGTTTGTTTATTTGTATGCACACATCTTCCTGGTGTCTCCTTGTACATCCAAATTTCCTCTTATGAGGACACGAGAAAGAGTGGAGTCCACCCTAACTTTAATTCTTTAACTCCTAACTTCACCCTTAACTCTTTTTTAAAGGCCCATCTCTAATACAGTTGCATTCTGAGGTCTCAGGGTCTCGGCCTCAACACATGAATGGGAGGGGCACAATTCAGCCTGTAACATTGCCACAAATGAAGTATTTTCTACTGCACTTGAAAATAACCATTTTAGGAACAATAATAATAATAACTATGGTTGAAGAATTTTAAGGTGTCTTCTCACCACTGAAATGCTATGACTTTGCAGGATTCTTTATGTATAGTGAGTTTTATTGTGCATAGAAAATATTTAAGGGGTCAAGTTTAAAGATTTATAAATTAAAATATAATATTTTTAAATATGATCTCAGTTAATAGGCTACAAGTATTTTTTTAAACACATTACTGTTGAAAATACCTGTCATTCATTGAGCAAGGAGTTAGGGAGCATTTACACATGTACCATAGGTATATATAAAACCAGATACAATATTTATTACCCCAGCACCTGTTCAGGCAATGCACCAGGCCAAAGGTTAGGGGCAAACCTGGAGAACTCCCTGCTCTCAAGGGGTATTAATCTACTGGGAAAAAATGCCAGAAGTGTTACCAAGCGAGCTGATTTAATTGCTCGTTGGGGCTACAAATTTGTGTCCACAGATGCCTCTGAGGTCCAGAATTAGGATTTGGAACTTGCAGTGCTTACCTGCTGTAACATTGGGAGAAAGGGAAATAGTAAAATCAGAAAAACCAACCCGGAGGTAGCTCACTGCAGTGTTCAGGACAAGTGGGAGGAGAGACTCGTGAGGAAGGACTATGATTGCCTAGTGGTGAGGAAAAGGGGCTCTGAGAAGGACCTGACCAAAAACACTTTCAAAGAATACTGCATTCCCCTGGCTTGAGGCTAAGACAGTGATGGGTTCCACCTGTCACCAAGTAAAGTAGAACTTCGCAGCCAGAACCGGAATGTGAATGCTGGCACTGCTGTTACAATGACCATGAATAGGAGAGCCATGATTATAAAGCACGGGCGTCAGGTACCACTAGATATAGTCATGAGAGATCCTTACCATAAGTGACATTTAAGAAAAGCTTTCATCTTGTCCATGTAGCTCACTTGGTTGGGGCATCGTCCTGTATGTCAGAAGGTTGCAGGAGGGAACCAATAACTATCTCTCTTTCTCTCTCTCATAAGTAAATATATTTTTTATTTAGTTTTTTTTCAAAAGAAAAGCATTTATTTACCAAAGGGAAGATTTATCTTTTCCTTAGTGCTGCTTCTTCACATGTAAAGAATATTTTGCTTCCTGTTAAACTGTGATAATGACAAATATGATTGAAATTTACCTGAAAAAACTTGTTTAATATGTATCTTTATTCTTTTAGGCCTCTTTTTCGCGGAAGTTCAGATGTGGATCAACTAGGAAAAATCTTGGAGTAAGTGATAACTGTAATTTTATCAGTGCCTGTAGCGTTAAAACATTTATAGTGACTTTCCTCTGACGTTCATATAATATGTTTATCTCTTGTCTTTCCTACCCCAAGCTGCTGCTGCAGACAGTGTTACTATTTGTGTGGTGAGTGGGGACACGGCAGAGGTGCTGTTTTGTGCAGAGCCCGTCAGGACATGTGGCCTGACTGCTCTGCTCTGGAAGCTTGTGTGTTGCTCGTGGGGGTCTTTGCGCTGCTTCTCTTTGTTTGCTTGGCCGAGCTCCTGTTCTTCAGTTCAGATGTGTTGTCCGCTTGGATCATTTCAGATGCATCCACCATCAGAGGTGGGGGGCTTGGTGGCCTGGTAACCCAGCCTTGCCCACTGGGCTTCCTGCCCCCATTGAGTATCCTTCAGTCATCCAAGTTGGTTTTCTGTTGTTTTCCTGGACGAAGAATGGTTTGCTGCATAACCCATTTTCCTTTGGAGCACTGAAATAGGAAGTGAGAATCCTAGATTCTATGTCTGTGGCTAAATAACTATGCAATTTTGAGTAACTCATATAACATAACCTAAAAAGAGTTTACACAGTGCCCGGTACACAGTAAATGCCTTTAAAATGTTAGCTATTCTTATAACTCATTATTAATTGTTTAACCATTTTGTTCAACTTCTTTCCCTGAGAAATGAAACTCGGGCTTAAGTTCTCTTTAAGTTCCCTTCTTGTGCTCAAACCCTTTGGTACCAGTTGTCTGTTACTTGGCTCCTCAGTGATTTGCAGAGTTCCGTTTGTGCCCGCATGTGAGCGTGTGAGGGTATGTGTGCTTTCCTGTTCCCAGAATGCAGAGGGGGGCTTTCCTTCTCACAAAGCATGCAGTATGGCTTCCTTTGGGGATTTGCACATTTGCCAAGTTCCATCAGAATTGGGGTGGAGTAGGAAGACAGTGGGAGTTATAGAACCAGAAATAGCCCTGATCATTGGTCTGTGACATTTTATAGGAATCCCAGTGATTTTTATATTTGCAATCTGAAAAACTTGAGAGAAGTACTCCTAAAGAAAAGCATTCTGTTTTAACCCTATCTACTCAAGCATGGCTGCTTAGAACAGCTGGAATACAACTGGAACCTGATTCTGTTCTGTTGGTGACTGGAAGCAGCTCCAGTAGACATCTGCTAGCTCCAGGGCCACTGCTGAGTCAGAACCCGGTGGCTTTGAGGTCTGAAAAACACTTGCCAGTTTTCCTGTCTGGGAGCGGTCAGGGTCCAGGGCAACTGCCACAACTGCTGCTTCTGCTGACCACTCTCTAAGATGGGTGGATTCAGGACAGAACTTGCTTGTGGGTGTCAAGTTCTTTGTCATTCAGGGATGAACTCCCACCTACTCTTGCGCACTGCTGTGAAGGGTGAACTGGGAAAGTCAGGCATGCCCAGTGGCCCTCTGCTTGCCAGACATTGAGGTCCTTCACCTGCTTTTCCTCACTGACACCACCTGGGCATCTGGGCCACTTCCAGCACTGCAATCTAGTTAACATTGTTGGTGCCCCTGAGTATACGAAGCCAGTGAGATAGGCGGGCCAGAAGGAACCCTGGACAAACCAGCTTCCAAGGGAAAGCCGGGTCCACTTTTGGCAAAGGCCTGAGATCCCAGGTTGCCAAAAGAAAGAAGCCACAAAGTTCTACAGGTTTTGTGCCTTTTGATTTTACTTCTTGGTTTCTGGCATTGTTTCATTGAAATGATGTTCTGTTTCCTGAGGGGTTATTACTGTGGCGTGGAGAAAAGGGACAATGCTGCACCCTAGTGTCACTTCAGAAGAACTTGAAAAATGGTTTCTGTGCCCACCATCACTGCCATTTATAGGTTTTGTGCTCTGTCATTCTTTCCAGTACAAATGTCAGCATTTAAGGCTTATATTCAGCTGTCCAAATACTGAAATTTGATGCAAGCACTTTTTAATGGACCTATCAGAATTTCACCACACTCAACATATGGGCCGTAAAAATCCATACTGCATTAAGGTGATTTTTTAAAGAAAGTTATATGCACATTCTCTTAAGGGAAAGAAAAAATGTTTGTGTTTAGGAAGATTTATACTTTCAAAGAACAGAAAGGACTTTGAACGTGAAACTGAATGCTTTTAGCCTGTGGCATTTTAGAGTATATTTAGGAGCAGAGTCATAGTTAAATAGAAATAAAATATTGGATGTGGAGTGAGCAGAACTGGGTGCACTCCAGGCTCTGTGGCTGAACTCGCTGTGTGTGACTGTAACAGTTCATTTCATTCCCTAACTCAGTTTCCCTGTCTCCAAAACAGAGATGATAAGGCCTGGCTTACGTGTTGCAGGAGGTTGTTGGGGGGGCCAAAGGAGGGGGCAGATTTACAAACACTTTTAAAAGTTATTTATATAAGAATAGAATACAATAAAATAGAAATTATATTATATTATATTTATATTAATAGAAACATATATGTAATTATATACCACACATACCTATTAATACAGAGACACTGTTTTTTCCAGGGCTTTTAGCATTCAGCTGCCCATATTGCCACATTTAATTCAATATAAGTATATTGAAAGCTGCAAATAAAATTTTAAATTATTACTAAGAGTCATTGTGACCAATTTCTAGGTACCTGGTGATGATATGCAAATACATTGACAGTAAAAATGGCTAAAAAAACTAAAAAAGGAATGGAAGAAAAATGTTAAAAGTTCTTTAATAAGCATTCTTCTTTTCTTCCTCTGCCAGTCTCATTCTATCCAAACACATACAGATTTATTATTTTTTTAGTAATTCATAGTGAAGTTTCTTTTCTTCTTTTTACTCTTATTCTGGATCTTGCTATTGAACCAATTTGCATATTGCCCAAGGTGCCATTTTCATTCGTGTGTCCCTGGGTTTGGCTTCATATGCCTCAGTAACACGGCTCTTCCGGCATGTCCCCAGAGGTAGGGTTGTCTTTCCCCGGACACCCAGTGATGGGTGCACTTATGCCATGGTGTCGGCTCTTCCGAGGTGTGAGGGCTAGAACCTGGGCTCTGTTCAGGTAAGGGAAGGAGAACAAAGCCCTGTAGAGATTGTGTTACATTTACCACCACATCTTCCTGAAACCTGGGAGCCCCTTTGGGAGAACACCTCTTCGGGGCCCCAGTCCCAGCAAGTGCAGGCCAAGAAGACCCCAATTTCTACCATGCTTTAAATCATTTGGTCAGTATTTGAATAGCCATGGGCTCTGTTGACTAAACTATAATTTTAGTTCAGAATTAATCAGTCTGTGTGAGACCTAACTTCTTGTATCCCCTGATTTCTTTTTTCAAAACCTACTACCACCTGTACATAAGCTATGAATAACATCTACATAATGTATGTTATGCTGTGTAAGGCCACTGACCTATTAATATTTCTGAAGAACCTTAAGTTACCCATTAATAGAACTCATGCAGTTCATTTTAGTGTGGTAACTATGCATTGCCTACACATTTTAGATTAATAACATTATTTCCCTCATATCATAATAATGGGCAATGTATTGATATTAAGGCCCGTGTGTCAGGCACTTGCTATGCATTTATATAAATTATCGCTGATCATCATAATGACTGTAACTTACCACCATTGTTGTATAAAAAAGACAGTGAAGCTCAAAGAAGTTAAGGAATTTGTCCTTCCCTACCTGTAAGTGGCAGGTGCAGAATTTGAACCCAGGTCTGCCTATTTCCAAAGCCTGTGCTGTGTTTATATTATTTGATGCTCTGTCCACATTTCTGATCCCAGAATAATTTTTATTTATTTGCTCACTTTGGAATACCCTAAAATAGTTCTGTAACAAAAACCTATAAGTTAAATTTGATGTTAAATTATAAAATAGTGTTTGCATAACACAGGTCTAATAGACCTTTTAGGGGTTTTTTTTGGGGGGGGAGTTTGTCTGATTCTAATGGATACAATTACTATTTGGGGAATTATTCTTTAACCAACAGTGCAGCTAGATTTATGTCTTAAGAAATCATGTTACAGGAGCACCAGAAAAGCATGTCGATACTGAAGCGTCTGGTCAGAACACAAAGGCACTCACAGGCAGGAAGGCACATGTGGCAGGCCCTACTCTGTCAGTGTTTCAGGGCTTATTGGTAATAAAACATTTCTCATTCTTCATTATCTATTCCATTTCCTACCTGCTCCCAGAGTGATCTCTTGTCTCTCCCCAGTGAATGGTGCCATTCTCCCGTGAGATTGTCCTCTACCCCACGATCACTGTATTTCGGCCGGACAGATAGAAATGAGAACCTGCCCGTCCTACACGTGAGGGGCTCCTGGGGCTCTGTGTCCCCTGTGCCTGCCCCTTAGGCCTTACCTGCATCTCAGATTTGGTGGGAAAGTAGCTTCTGCACAGCAGCTGATGCTTATGTTCGCCTGTGGCTCTTTGCAGCGTAATTGGACTCCCAGGAGAAGAGGACTGGCCTAGAGATGTGGCCCTTCCCAGACAGGCTTTTCACTCAAAGTCTCCTCAACCCATTGAGAATTTTGTAACAGATATTGATGAACAAGGCAAAGACCTACTTCTGGTAAGTTCAGCAATGCGGAGCTGATCTGCACTGTGCTAACGAGATACTTGCCCTGTCCGCGCTGGGTGGTGGGGCTGCCTCACCTGCCACCACCTCACAAGGCACAGGCCACGGTCTCCCTGCAGCTCTCATTTCCACGCCTGGGGCTTCTGATTCTGGAATGTCTTCAGTTCCTGTAGAAAGAGAGTCTGACGTACATACTTTTCAATTCTTTCAGTTTGAACATTCATTTTTGAATGTAGCTTTTAAAGGTCTCTCCATCCATATAGACATGTGATTCTAATAAGTACTGAGTGTGTCATGCACATATCAAATACCTCACTGAAAATAAGGACTTCAGCATCCTGTTTGAGACTCAAATCGTAATACTTGGCCTTTTACATAATTCCCAGTACTTAGCGGCCAGAGCAAAAGGTAGGGGAGTGTACCCACTGCCCTACTCTCGGTGTCTGGAGCCCAGTGAGTAACAAGTGGATCCTTACCCACTGAAGCAACCTTGCTGTCTGCTCCTAGACCAGGAGGGGCCAGTGCTCCCATTCCGTCAATGTGTTCTGAATCTCAGATACAGCCCTAAGAGTCTGTAGGACTTAGTAGAAATGTTGCGCTTCAGCCCTGTGTGTCCAGGCGGTTGTGCTGGGAAGGAGGAGGGATCATGTGGAATTCATTATAGCCACCATAGGCTTCCTTCTCAGCAGGAACTTTGAATGAAATGTTCCTCTTAGAAAAGGACTCTGGACAGACAGTCACAGGGATGAACTTTAGTGATGAAATATTTAACTGCCAGAGCTACCGTATTATCCAAAGTTACCCAGAATATCTCCTAGTTCCAACGTCAGCAGGAATCACCCAGAAGAACTTAAAATGTAAAGACAACAGACAATGTCATGTGCTTATTTAGGGTGGCCCTAAAAGCCGCCCTAGCAGTGGTGGCTTTTCAGATCAGACAACACACTAGTGCTAGACTGGAAAAGTAGCAGGAGACAATTGAAGAAAAAGGAACAAAGAAATGTACCAAAGAGAAGAGGAAGAATTAAGTTGAATAAGAAGCAGAGCCAGTGACATCAAGACTAGGGGAAATGTAAGCATAAAGCATAATATCCACAGGCATTCAGAGGGGACAGCCCCAAACCTCACTGCTCAGGACCCTCTGAAGCTGCCAGAGGGATGCAGGCTGAACTGGGAAGGAGAAAGAGATGGGCCATGGAGTACAAGACAGACAGCTGAGCCCCCAGCAGTACCTGTTGCCTCTACCGAAAATTATTTACTAAGGAAGAAGAGTGAACACTCTTTTAGAAAATTTGTGTTGTTTAAGAAACAAGTAACATTTGAAAATTTCGCACAGTAAGAGTTACTCTTTGTTTTTATTGAAAAAAATGGGTGACTTTATATAATGCCTTCTTCTTATATACATACTCCATAAGTAACATACAGCAAAAGTAACGTTCCCAGTCAGGGGAAGAATTATTTTTAACAACTAAAACCTACACATTTTTATGAGTTTTGTCCTTAGTCATGATTCATTTGGGAGGCTGAATATTTATTTTAAATTTGATGCTCATGCTGAAGAAAAATTTATAGAGTTCTTTTGTCTAATTGCTTTCACAGCCTGAGGTACATTTTTCTTTTTGGCCCTTGTATTTAGTCTATTTTTCCTGCGTAACAAATAACCAAAAAAAAAAAAATATATATATATATATATATATATATATATATATATATATATACACACACACACACACACACACACATATATCTCACTAGCATATAACTATAAGCATTTTTTTCTTGCACATGGGTCTCCAGATTGGCAGTGACAGTTCTCTAGCCCGAGGGTCAAGTACAGGTCTTTCCATGTGTCGTATTCAGGGGCCCAGGCTGGAGAGGCTTCACTCTATGGAACGTGTTTTGTTTCATGGTAGAAGGGGGATACTCCCAGCAGGGCAAGCAAAACACATGGTGCCCCCCGAAGGCCCAGGCTTGGAAGAGCTACCCTACTACTTCTGTCTACATTCCACAGGCCAAAGTGTGTTAAATGGCCAAGGCCAGCTTTAGTAGAGAAAGGGATACTGCCACCCTTGGCAAAGGGAAGGGCAGAAAGGGGATACATGCTGAAAACTGTTCAGATCTACTATAGTATTCAACTGGAGTGAGCTGTAATTCCAGAAGTCCATTTGGGGAAGTAAATTTCCTTGCAGAAACAGTATTATTATACAAGATTTTTTAATTCTCAAGCCAGCCAGATGCTCTGTTGGAGTAGGGCAATAATAGAACTTAGCCACTTTTTCATACAGTATTCCTCTAGGACATAATATATAAGACTTCCAACTTGAGATTCTCACACACCCCCACATTTGGCTAAGGATTTCTCCTCCTCTCTACCTTCTGTCCAACTTTAAGCCATCACTATAGTTGTGGGGACAGGGCTTCCTCCCAAAGAATCCTCTAGGGAAATGTCTCTGTATCTTGAACATGTTCCCATGTTTTTTCTTTCCTATGTTCTAGAGGTTAAATTGGCTGCTTCCTTCTCCAATGCCACTACCTAATTTTGTCCTTCTTAGAGTCTGGAAAGAGAGAATTCAAACCCAAGAATTTTTCCCTTCCTTGTAGAGCTTTTCTCAAGATGTTTATTGCTCTTAGAGACAGTAGAACCATTCAATGAACAAGCTCCTTCCTCTGCTCGCCTTTCACTCTCTGGTGTCAGAAGACACTGTAAGGCCCCGGCTGGTGTAGCTCAGTGGACTGAGCACGGGCCTGCAAACCAGACAATAACAGTTAGATTCCCAGTCAGGGCACATACCTGGGTTGCAGGCCAGTTCCCTGCAGGCCAGTTCCCAGCAGGGGACGCACAAAAGGCAACCATACATTGATGTTTCTCTCCCTCTCTACTTCCCTTCCCCTCTAAAGATAAATAAAATCTTAAAAAAGACACTGTAAGGAGGCTAGCCAGAGTCCACGGACTGGTGGGGAGCTCAGGATAAGTAAGATTTCAGGGGACCCAAAAATTCTGAAATTTTTTGTAGAATTTTCCAGCAGTACATGTTTTTTCCTAGGTCAGTAGCATTCAGCAGAACTCCCTAAGAGCGGAAATGCAGGCTAAATGGGAGTGATCTGCATATGCTAATGTTAAGTCCTTAGGTTACATAAAAGACTCAAATTCATAGACACGTCAGCTGCACAGCTCACTTCAGCGGACCCCACATCACAAGAAAGGAAAAGCTGGTATAACGTCTCTGTTACTAGTCAACTCCCAGGGCGGCGGGTGGGTCTTACTCCTCCTTACTGAATGCTTGCCACCCACTGGGCACTCTGGAGCTGTTGGTGGAAGGAGAGGAGGGGGCTTAGGAGGAACAAGATCACCTGGGGTAATCACCCCTTGGTGATCTCCATTAAAAATGGAGGTGAGATCAAGGAAACCCTCTGACTAATTGATTATGAATGGACAGTTTGGGAATGGAGATTGCTGCTCCACAGGTTCACCTTTTCCTCCTTTCACCTTCTACTTGACTTGAATTGACAGCTTGGAATAGAGTTGAGTGACTTGAATTGAATCTAATGGATTCCCTATCGGGATGCTGTTAGCCTATAGGACACCTTGATGGGAATTGGAAGGAGGGCATCCCCCTGTGGTGATGCAGCCCTGGGGCGTGGTGCATGGCTTGCTAGTAGATCGAGATCATTAGTAGGATCTAGGTTTTAGACCCTACTTGCCCCCTTCATAATAAAGTCTTTATTTCCTACCTTAAAATATATTTGTTTTTTATTGTTATCTTGTTTGGTTTTGATTGGAGGAATTTGTCAGAAATTGTTTGCCATTTTGCTTTGGAGAGCAGTTCAGTCATTACCCTTTATACCTGAACACCACCCTGCCATTCTCGCTCATTGACAAACGTTGGAGAAGAGTTAAACGTTAGGGTGAAGTCTCTGACTACAGCACCAAGTTTGCTCACATTAGAAAAATCACTACCTAAATAGAGTTATATGCATACTACAATAATAATAATAATAATATCTTTTAAAGGACCTGGAGTGGGTTGCAGAGAAATCATGGGTAGTGGGAGTCCACAAGCAACCCAAAAGGGGTCACCTTTTCCTGAGAGGCAGTTTCTACATTAAGAACATACATAGGACTAGTACTGTCTACAGTTTATTTAGTGTCCCTTGAAGTAGATGTTCTTTCTCATTGTAGCTACATGTAATTCATGGCAGTGAAAATGTACTGCATAACTATATGAGCACATTTTTTAAATGGACATGTTTTATGTCAATAAGTTATTTATTTTTCTTTATCACAGAAGTGCTTGACATTTAATCCAGCCAAAAGAATATCTGCCTACGGTGCCTTGTCTCACCCATACTTCCACGACCTGGAGAGGTGCAAGGAGAACCTGGATTCCCACCTGCCGCCCAGCCAGAACAGCTCGGAGATGAATACAGCCTGAGCTTCCAGCCACTGCCTTGAGCCGCCGACCTGGAGAACAGCGTTGGTGGCTCCTGCTGTGTAAGCCATGCAGAGCTGTTGGAGATCCCTGGCTGGAGACCTGTCGGCTGCTGTCTCCTGGACGGCTCTGCTTCTCCACGGAAACCAACTGTTTACCATTTGAAATCAATGCAAGAATGATTGCAGCTTTATGTTCATTCATTTGTTTGTCTGTCTGTTTGTTTGTTTCAAAAACCTGGGAAAATTCCAGAAGAGAAGCTGCTGACCAATTGTGCTGCCATTTCATTTTTCTAATCTTGAATGCTGCCAATGTAAAGTGAGCAATCCAGGCGCAGCTGAGTTATGATGTAATCTCTCTGCAGCTGCCGGAGCCTGATTTGGTACTTTGGAGTGAGCGTGTGTGAGTGAGTATGTGTGTGATTCTTGATCTCTTAAAAGTGTTACTTTCTGTAAACAGCAAGAATAATTGAATTTTAGAGACTCAAAGAGACCCATAAATAACAGGCATCTGTTGACTGAAGCTGATTCACCAGAATGGGCTTCTCAAATTAGAAAGTTGAGCCTATGTCCTCAGAATTCCTTTTCCAGCCAAAAGTAGTAAATTTGTTAGTAGTAAAAGTTTCACTGTCTAGATGAAGTTTTATACACAAAGCAAGGAGAAAAAAATTCTAGTATCTTTTAAGAGATCTATTTTTTAAAGCACACATCCTATTTACTCTTCAAAAAGCGGAATTTACTCATTCTAAGTAAATTGTAACCTGTATATTATGCTTTATTGTTCCTTTTGAAAAAAATACCTGATAAGCTCTTTCTTACTTGCTATATAGATTTAGGGAGTATACCTCAAGTAGATAAAATTGTCCAAAAAAATAGAGAAAGCATTTATTTCTTGGTTTTAAATTTATTCCTTTTTGTTGTTTTTGTTGTTCTGTTTTGTTTTTGATTCTAGTGATTTGTCAGAAGCTGTTTCCTGGTTTGGTTTGGAGAGTAGCTCTCTGACTAGAGACAGGAATGCCATTTGTTTTCCCCACCTGTTACACTGTACTTCTTCCACAATGCACTGCCTGTCTTCAAAGCATCAGTCTCACCTATCCCCCAGCACCTCGAATATATATATATATATATATATTACTGCCATTACGTAGCTAATAACAGATTGCTTAAGCTGTTTGCACCCTTTCTGTCTTCCTTTCTTGCTCTCAGTGAACGTTTCGTAAATAGATTGAGATTATGGTTTAAGGCTGCAATCCCACAATCCTTACAGGATCTCCTGTGTTCTCGCTCTAAAGCCATCTTCCTACCTGGCATTCACTGTTGTTACCTAGGCAATGAGCACAGAAGACTGGTTCTTCTTCTCTATCACCAGCAGATAGATTGCTTTAAACCGTTAACTGTGTTTTACGTTTTTATTGAATATATTGTCAGTGTAGTGTCTAAGGGAATAACTTTTTTTTTAGAAATAAATAATTACTCTACAGAATGATCCCCCCTCTCCCCTAGGCTGTGCTCGTTTCTGGTGCCTCGTGCGCACTCCTGCTCTCTGCAGAGCCAGCCTGACTCGGGCATCGTGAACAGCTTTATTTCTCTTGCCGTTTTCTCTACAGCGCTTTGTATTCCATACCATCTCTGCCTGCCTTATGTGTGATTAGTGCTCTTTTGGCTCTAATAACCACAACACACAGAGATTAAGTATGTTTAGGGAGTTTTAGCTAGCTTTGCCTTATGACTCGTATTTTGAGTTCATGCGACAGTTAGGCCATGTTTAGGGTTAGGGTTTTCAAGAATGGACATTGCTTCACTCAAAGGAAAATGTTCCAGCTGATGTTGATGCATAGTCAAGCCTTACTGAATTCTTCACAGCTTAATATTGTAGACGACTATCTTGAACAGGAGAAAAATTTAGAGTTTTCTCCTTGAGAGCTTCTTGGGTCAGGAACCAGTCATTTTTAATTACGTACATTGTTTAACATTGCTCTAATTCAGTAACTTGAAGAGCAGGAAGATTTGTGTAAAGCAAGATGGAGATGAGAAGACAGGCCAAAAGAATGTTTTATACTTTCTTTATTGTGATACCATCATGTTTTGTGATCACTGTAAATGCTTGAGATATAATGAATCCAGAGCGTGTAATGTAGGGCAAGGTGTATTTGCAGTCCGCCCTGGAAACCTGAGTCCTGCCTTTCCTTTGATTGGAGGCAAAATACAAAGACATTTTTGCAGACCTCTAGAAGTTGAATTTTTAAAACTCGCCACACTGACTCATCGTGAGTTTTTTGATGAGTATCCATGGTCAGTGTGAACCTAACTAGAGTTTTTGCTTTTGTAAAAGTTTTAAGTTTGCTTGAGAAAAACGCAGCTGTGTCTAAACTGGAATTTTTTTCAGCATTCTTTAGAATTTTAAACATAAGAGCTCAACTTTTATTTCTAGCATATGCTTTAGGTGCATTTTTAGCAGTGTTTATGAGGAAAACTTAAAACACAAACGTTTTGTGTTTTTAGATACTTGGCTAATTATCCCCTGGGAGGCAGAATGGGAGGGCATCTCAGCCTCTCTGAACTTAAGAGTCTGTCCCCAGCTCTTCCATGGTTGTGGCTTGTGACACTTCAGTGATTACTTTCTTTTTTTATGTCATTTACATGAGGCTCAGTGCTTCTGAAATCTAGATCCCACACCAGCACACTCGCTATTAGGAGTCTTTAAAGCATATAGGAGAATACAAAGTTAACTGGACACAGTTTATTCTTCTGTGACATACGTTTTCAAACATCTTTGCCAAAAAGCTAGGTAGGTGAGCTGAAAAGGTGAGACTGCCCCAGAATTATACTGAAGTAACTTAGAGCAGTAAAAATACGGTGATGGATTTGAAAATGCATTTGAATTTCTTTGTAGGAGAGGTCCAAGAATGGGCATGATAGTTCCTCTGTGATACTCCTTCCCGGCAGCCCAGGCATTGTGGGAACTGTAGTGAAGCTGTCAAAATCTACATTTAAAAAGAGTAAAGGAGAAATCTGCCCACTTAGGCATCATAGCAATTGTGTGGCAGAGGGTAATGAAGACCTAACCTTAGAACCGTAGAAACACAATTTCTAAGAGCTTATAAGAATCCAGTGGGTTGGAGCCACCCACTTCATCCCTCTTTTGAAGTGGATGGGAACTCAGAGAGCAAAGAACCTGTTTTGGAAGGAAGCTCTGGGCCATTCAGCCCCTGTACTCCTGACTTTTTTCTCAGGAAACACACTGTGAATGACAACCTTTTCATTTAGCCCCAGGTGACTTCCTATAAATAGTTCAAAACTGTCATCTAAGAATAGAACCTTGGCCTCTTAGTTTAAGTAAAAATGAAAATTTCAGAATGTCCAGGTTGTCAATATCTTAAAGAAAACTTGCACCTTATAACAGAGTGATTATAGTTTGACTCCTGGGTGTGGTACTATCCATAATGATGAGAAAAAAAACCTTAAATTGTACCAAACATTTCGAATCTTAAATTATGTATGTAAGTTGAGCTTTTAACTAACTATAGCTGCTTCTCCTAAAAGTAGTGCCTGTAAAAGTCAGTAATGGCTTCCATTCTGGAAATTAAATCATATAAGCTTCCCAATATCATAAACATTAAAATTCTTCTCTCCAAAGAATTTCTTTTAAGTGACAGCTTGACTGTTTTTATGCTAAGCACATGAGAGTGTCCCACATCTTCCAGCAGCAGGCTTTTGTTGCACACTTGGGTCTAAGAAAGCATAATGTTAAAAAGTTAACAAGCCCCTATAATTACTTCATTGTGTTAGGGTAGAGATTAGAATATTTACTTCAGAAAGAAAATATTGAAATATTGTAAATTCTTAAATAGTGATAGAATTCAAAAGAATGCAAGCTTTACATTGTGACACATAAAAATGATGTATTTGATGAAAATGAAGATGTTACATGATTTCTAAATCTTTGAAAATCATAAAACAGGCAATTGATCGAGGAAATTCTAGAGAAAATGAAGGTATTCAAAGACTGATAGTTCAAGGTTAAATATATTTTGAAGGATATATCCTTTACTAACAGATGCATTGTAAGAATTTATATTGAAGTCATCTGGCAATTATGAATTCGATACGTTCAAAAGTAAATCTGGTGGAGAAGCCATTACACGCAATTATCGTTCCAGAATTTGAGCTGAGCAAACCGAAACATCTGTATTCCTTTCTCCTTTCATGGACAGAAGCAGCCATGTGAAGAGGCTACAGGTGTTACGCAAGTTTAAGAATGTTCCCTTTTTCAGAAAAGTAAATTTTGTAAAAGCATGTGTTTCCTTCGCCACCAGTATTTTTGCAAAATTTGAAACCTGAACCATTGGTCGTGAACGCAGGCATTTGGTGCGTTCACTTACGTGGTTACGAGGGTAGCTGCGCAATTACTTCTCCGCTGGGAGAGCTTCCTGAGGCTCCTCCTCAAAACCTGTCAGGACCTGTCGAGTCCTCGAATCATTGGTAATGAATGGTGTTTCCCTCCAAATCACGAGACAATAACTTCTCATCAATGCAGTTTTCAACCTAGTTTTGTTAGATACCTATATCTCAAGCATTTCTGGTGTACTTTTTCAGGAAATAAATCAAAAAATATTCTTTTGGTCTTTTCTTTTCTGACCTTTGCAAAATTAGGAGAGTTCTGATTTTTAATTTTTTTCCTCAGTTAGCTTTTTTTAATGAAGTACAAATGGGCTTTTCAAATTGACCTCTATTTCTCGGCAGTCCCAGGGAGCTAATTCAGATAAGTGAATGGACTCCCATCATGTCTGTTTCCTTTATACTGGTGCTCTGGCCTTCAAGAAGAAAACGAGAGCCACCGGAAAATAAACACAGACTTTTTTTCGAGTATCTACTTAAGTTCTGTTACAACAATTGGAAGTTAATATGGTAGGAAAAAGAGGTGCAAAGACCTGTTTTAAAATTCACACTGTTCTGAGATGAGCGTTCTGGTTTTAATCCCGGTATGTTCCACAAGGTGGCACTGTCATGGGGGGAGCGGTCTGAGCTAGGCTGACGAGGGATTTGTGAACGCTTCATTCTGGCTTTTTTTCTGCATATGCTTAACTCTTGTCTAGCACTTGTGTTTTTAGGCAAATAGTCTTCACACTATTCTGTAACTTAGATATTTTAGTTAGCTAGGTTCTGAAGGAGTGTCTAATTGTTCTTAGAGATAACACACTCATTTTGATCATTTAAGTGTGCAAAGAAAGCCTAGATATTCATTTATTTAAGAAACTTTTTTTGAGGTTCCTAATCACCTCGCTTTTCTAGGTGCAGAAGTTTCCAAGGTGGACAGGCTTTATTACTAAAATGGCATCACTCAGTTTTGGTAGGAGTGTAAAACTCCAGCAGTGCCCCCTGCCCCCACCCAAGTACCAAACCCTCCTCCGCGGCTTTCACATTCCTACGTTCACGACCACGCGCCTTCTGACACGGATTACAGTTTTAATCCTAATTTAAAATTCAGATGAGCAAAATAAGTAACATATTTGTTAGTAAATAGCAAAGCGATTTTTTCTAAAGAATTGGCTGTGCTCAAACACAGCCCTGAAATACATATTTGTATTACCACAAGTGTACTTCCACAGGAAATTATAATTTTTTTAATTTTTGGCTAAAGAAAATAGGAGTATATCTACACAAGTCTTTAATTTCTCCATTTGTGAAGTTCTTGGCAACTTTATTGTAGATACAGATACCCATATACTTATGTTTTCATTCACAGGTGTGCGCAAAGACTCATTAATCCCTAGATTTTACCTAATTTTAGAAGTCACTTTTACTTGGTCGTGTCACTAAAATTTAGGAGGAAGGAAATTACAGTATTTTTCAGAGTTTCCTTATCAGAGCATAACAGAATGCAGTTTATGCTTAAGGAGTGATGGAAATTCAATAGTGCTTGGTTAACTTTTCTAAAGAGTAGCCAGCAGGCCAGTCTCAGTAATTCACACTGAGTCACAAAGTACCACGCACAGTAGGGGCTGTCAAAAACGGCGTCGGCCTCATCCCTCTGCTCAAATTCCCACTGAAGTAGGTTACAGTTTAAGGCTGAATTCAAACCCCGAGTTTGTTATCAGTTGGGCCAGTCTGAATTCCATTTTCTCCTGTTAGAGCTTCACTCTTGCCCGGCAACCTCCCCGGTGCGCAGCACCCGTCACCCAGCACCCGTCACCCCGCCCCTTTGGCAGCGGAGAGGCAGGGGGCGGGGCTGGCTGGGACCCGCCCGCTGCTCACCTGTAAGTGCTGAATCGTGTTTGGACCCAGTGGAAAACTCTCCAAGGTCCACATACCCTGCTGCTGTCTCTGAGGCATCTGTTCAGCCATCTGAGGAAGTCAAGTGTCCCTAGAAGCAAACGGGTGTCTTCTGTGGGTAAATGAGTACAACACAATTCGGAAGTTCAGGTGACTAAGAGCTGCTGCTCTGTATGAGGCTGTCGGGCATCTCTCAAGCTCTAAGCTCAGTTTTGTTTTGTTTTGTTTTGTTTTATTTAGATATGTATAGTTACAGGGAAATTTTTTTATTTTTTTATTTTATATCATGCTACATATATGGTGGCAACAGATATGCCTGGAAAAGTTATGTTTTGAAATTTTATTTTCTGCTTCATCCTCAGTTGGCAAAAGCTCCTAATTGTTTTGTCCCTAATTTTTTATTTTATCTTTGTCAAGTAATTAAAGGTATGCAAGCGAATTATCTCATCTAGTAGAGGATTTTCCTATTTAGAAGAACTTTTGTGTGAATTTTTTCTTTAAGCAAATAACCCTTCCCTCTTGTAGGAGTTTGGATTGTCAAATGTAGGTTTGTTTGAAGGGGCACATAACTACATATTACTCCAAGAACTGTGACTGTAGCACTAATCAGCATGTATAGAGACACACAGTTACTTAATTTCTAGCTCTCTGTGGCTTCCAGCCAAAATCCATTCATGTACTTAGGTTACAGTCCTAAAGATACCCTTTATATCCTCACTTGAAAGTTTCTAATTTTAAGGTTTATGAAATGCAATAATACATATTACCTAGCAATAGTCCTATGCTCACCAGCAACTCTGTATTTGACCTTGAAGTCTCTGAATAATGAAAATAGACAATAGCAATAATACAATACATTTCTTGAACCACGCCCCCCAAGGATATTATATATCTTCTCATTTTGGTCCTGTGTTTGCAACAATTTACACATGACTATTATAATTCCTCACTTTGCAATCATTTATTTTGCTATAACAAGTAGTACATTAGTACCTAGAGTGAATAGCATCAGCTACTCCTAGGATCAGCACTTAACAAGCTAGGGAATATCTATTTCAAGTTTTTCTACATTTGCATAAATTATTTCTATTATTATTCGTTTATATTATTTATTTCTGTATCACACTAGTCCTGTGAAATTGTATCTGAGGCAGACTGCATTAGGATATCCGTTTAATGTCCATTATCACAGGCTTGACAGAGTTAATGAGATGAAAATTAGACTAAACCCTCAAATAAGCTACATGCATTTTAACATGATAGAACTTCAGTCTATAGATATAGTATTTTTGTGTTTAGGTGTTTTAATTACCATTATGTAAAGAAGTTAAAGCAAGGAGCTTTGTAGTTGTTTTTTCAGATATGCATATGATATAGCAAGAAAATACAACAAAATAAGAACTATAGATGAAAAGCATCAGACACTGCCTCACTGCAGGTACTCTGCCAGGTGGCCACCGGCGTAGATGCCAGGCAGAGACAGTAGATGCCTGGGCAGTGCCCCTTGTCTGGCCTTGAGAAGACGCTTCCCCCACGTGATCTAGAGCCCTCGTAGGTGGTGTGTGCAGCAGTGGGAGCAGGTCGTGCTGTTGAAAGGAGAGCAGTGGGAGTTTTCTGCAGAAGCAGAACTGTCAGCTTGTGCCTTGAAGCTTCCAGAACGTGTTAGATGGAGAAGTCTTAAGTCTCTGTGCTTCACACAGCTTGGTTTTGTACAGAAGCAATCCAGTCTGGTAATAAACACAAGGACTGAGTGTACAATAGTCAACAGTGGGATTTTAACAACCAGCACTTCCCCACAACCTCAAAAGCTTGTTGCAATTCTGGCGTTTTAGGTTTTGGTTTGAAGGTTAAATCGCAAGTGTGTGGTCTAGAAGAGCAGTATGTATTAAGAAAAGCACAATATCGGTCCCCGTAGAGTGCAGGTCAGACCTAGAGGGTCTTTCAGGATCATCCTTTCTGAGATGTGTAAAATGTAGTAGAGCTTCTGCATTCCCGTAGGGCCTAGTTAAAACCGTCTTCTAGGTTTCAGCAAGGATGTCATACCCAGTGAGCTTTTCTTTTTTGATTTATAATAGAAAATGTTGTAAAAGTAAGGGGAGAAGTCTGAATCTGGACTTTTGATTTGTTGGTTTCTGTGTTTGAAAGCACACTTCTGGAGATGCAGAGATGGTGCGCGTGCACGTCAGTTACTGAATAGACGTGGACCAGCCCGGGATCACCAGTACTCACCCATCCCCAGCGTCTCTGCCACCCTCCCCCTGAGGTGCTCCCTGCCCCCAGCCGGGCCAGTTCCCGTGGTGCTCTCCATCCTCCTCTGCTACTCTTTGGGCATTAGAGACATGATGAGAGATCCTTTCGGCATCACTAGTGTGCTCAGGTGTGGCTACCACCCATACTTGACCTTGGGCTGGCCATGGTCATCAAGAGAAGGGTCCTGGTGCTAGGCACAGAGTGTGCTCACAACACCAACCACAAATGCCCTCTAGCATCTTTGTATATATCTTGATTTTTTTTAAAAGTCATTCTATGGAGCATTCAGTTTCAGTTGTGATACAAAGAGAAAGACTAACCAAGAATACAAACCACATTTCAGGCTGCTGTTTTCTATCCACTTACAGGCTATACTTTTACCGAATTTCTTCATACTTGAAACTCATTCCGCTATTTTAATGTCAGGGTACAGACTTATAAGGGTGCATGTTCCTTAAAGGTGCAGAATTACTCGCATTCCGTTTGCTCATATTGCTCCAGATGCTCTGTTTTGGTGCTTTGGGTTCAACCGGCCAGAGAAGCAGTGTGGAAATGTACTGCCTGAGACGGTCTTACGAGAATGTTGGCAGGTGGTTGGATGTTAGATTTGACTTCTGCTTCTCTCTGTACACAAGACTGAGAGTTACCACACTGGCCCGGCAGGTTCAGCTGGGTGTCCTTCCTCACAGGCGCATAAACCCTGCGCTATCCCAAAGGTGGAGTGCAGCGCAGCTCTTTGAAGGCAGGGAATCTGCCGTCCAGATCATTTAACCCTCAGAGAAAAGTGGCCTCAGGTGGAGACAGGAGCAGAATGGGGAGGGTGCCTCACTCTAGTCACCATCCCCCCATTCCATTCAGAAAACCCTCCTGAGGCAAAAAAAAAAAAAATTTAAAAGCTTATCTGTAGAGTTAGCCTCTCCATGGCACCCTGAGCTGAATGATCTTGCTTCCTCCCCTCCAGGTAGATGAACATACAGGTCGGTTCATCTAGGCTCTTCCCACGTGAAAAAGAAAGTAAAAAAGTAGGTGTTTGTGTAGTGTGAAATGTGCAGGGCGCTGACCACCAAACCTTGGATTAAATGCCCCACCACCAGCAATCTCTTTCTGAAAATAGCTCAAGTAAAGGATGCTTTATGACCCCGGGTTTCTGAGGTCAGAGGTTGCCATTCTAGCGTGCGCCTTACTCCAAGATGTACTCGGAGAGAGGACATAACTGCCCATAGTGACCGCCGCAGTGGCAAAGGTAACATGTTGGAAAATTCAGAGGGTTACAGATCAATAATCCTTTGGAAACTGGATGTCTTACTGGGTGCTAGAATGCAAATTTAGGTATTTATTGTCAGGTTATCAAAATTCATTGTTTTTTTTTTTAAGAATTGGTGTTAAAATGTCACTGTCCAGTTCATTGTTTTCACATATACACAAGCTAAACCGAAGCATAAAAGAAATAATCATTTGTATATTTGTCATGCTTTTTGTATCTCTTACAGTAAGAATATTGGTAGCAAATAAAAATAATAAAACCAACACTTACGCTTTCTTGGAGATGAATTACTATCCTGGCTATTTTTCTTGTCACTATCATGATAAAGGAATATAACTGCTGTGAGTAAAGCAAGCAAATATAATAAAATAAGTTTTAGCAGATTAAGTTTTAAATGTTTACAAGACTCCTATTCAGGCTTCTAGTGTTTTTTTACAAAGTAAACAGCAGCTCATTGAGTTGAGAACTTCAGTAACAGGTACTGAATAGGCTTCTATGAGCCGTCGGCACTAAACACTGAAGACCCAAAAATGCGGAAGGCTCGGGCAGTCCTTTTGGAAGCTTGCAGACCGAGTCTGTTGAGAAGGTTTGTGTGACCAGTTGCTGGTAGCAAGATGAGCAAGGGGATCACGTCAGAAGTGATGCTTGAGTGGACTCACAAGTGAATACAAGCCAGTCATACAAAGAAAAAGACGCTGTGTGTGCAGGTTCTGAAAGTGGTCAGGAAGCCTGGAGAGGCCACGCCCAGAACGGCAGCTTTCAGACATCTGGATCGAGACCTGCAGGAAAAAACCATCATCCAACAGCATGACCTGGTACATGTATACACGTCGACACGCATGTACATAGAAACTTGTATTTCACAAAATGATGTGTCCCACACACGTCCTCTTTCTGTTTTATTATCCTCCAAAGTGAAAACACTGGTGGCAACCCACCAACCTGATTTCACCATCTTATCAATAGGCCACGACTTCACATTTGAAACAGCTAGTCCGAGGGGGAGTGGTATGTGGGAGTCAGGAAGGGATGGCACAAGAGGCTCAACCGGCCACGTGAGCGAGTTTGGAACTACTGAAGGATTGTAAGACAGAGATCATTCCGTTAATGTTGCCAATTTTTGTTCAGCCGCTTATATGCTAGATGCAGAGTGACAGACCAAACAGCTCCTGAGCTACTACACCACATACAAAAAGTGGGGCCCATTGCTGCTGTCCCATACATATGTTCCCCTCCTGGTGTACAGCATCAGGCGTTTCTAAACAAGTCCACCAGAAGTCCCTGGGAATTCTCTCATTAAGACTTACCTCCATTATTTTTTTTTAAAGATTTTTTTATTTATTTAAGAGGGGAGGGGGGGGGGGGGATGGGGCACCTCATTTTTTAATAGGCCCT